ATCTATCTCTTTCCTACATATCTCTCTTGCTTTCCTTAATTTATTTCTTTCTCTCTCACTCACTCATCTCTCCCACTCATCTCTCCCACTCATCTCCCTCTATGAATACCATGTGCTGTAAGCTTGGATGTGCGGGTGGTGCAAAGGATAACGGCTAGCAATTGGAAATCGGAGAGCTTAGGTCCAATTCCAGTTGGGTTAGTTATATTCACTTACGGGCAAATACCCTTAGGAAAGGTATGAACCCAATTTTTCTCCCCCAGCTATGGATTAAATAATATTGTATCAGTAAAAATCTTCTTACGAACCAAAAATATTTTCTGCCTTCAAATAACCTGCAAATATAAGCGTAAAATACAAATAAATAAAATCAATCAATCCCTTTTTTTTCCTTCGTTTCTCTCTTTCCTTCTCCATCCTCTCCCTTGTTCTCTTTCCTTCTTCCTCTGGCTTTCCTTCTTCGGCCCTTTACTTCTCCATTCCACCTTTTCTTGCTTTGCTCTCTTCTCTCTCTTTCCTTTTCCAATCAAACTTTCTCTCATTCTTTCTATTTTTCCTTCTATAGTATCATTTATCCCCTCTGTCTATCTTTCATTTCTTTTTATCAGCAAGAGAAGCAAGAGGCCACAAAGTATTTATTGTAGAGTTTAGAGAGAACAAGAGCCAGTTCAGGAGCACGTTTCTAAGAACTATTGCATGGATACCATCAAAACCACATCCTTTGTGAGAATCCAGTTTAGAAATGAGCAGAAACCATTACCGGAGTTATATGCATATCACTCAATAGAGACACAGTTCTAAATGGAAATCCAGCAAAGTTACTCCAGATGAGTCAAGAGTTTACAAACAAAACATTTTGCTTTATCAGCAGAAGATGTTAACACCTGAAATTGAGTGAGGAGAGAAGGAATAGAAGACTTACTTTTATTTAACACAATATTACAGAACCGCCAGTAGTCACGTGAACCAAACTGATTAGAGTTTATACGGTGTCTCAGTCTATCGACAAAGAAAGACTTAGCCTCTTTGATGACACGATTACAATTATTACGAGCAATCACAATTAGGCGTCTGTGGTGATTGCAATTATCACGCTGGTACACCCGAAAAAATTGAATCCTATTGGCTACAGCGGCGAAACAGTCATGTGTGAATAAAATTGTCGTTTCACCCGATATTTGCGAGAAGGTACAAAAAGAATCAATGCTGGATTTAATCCAAGCAGAAACCTCTGTGGCACAATTCTCAATAGAAAGGTCAAGAATATGAATCCAAGGGGAGTCTCGAATACAGTCATAAAATAAATCCCAATCAGTACAGTCGTAACAGAAAAATGTAATGAATTGGAGTTTTCTTTCTGATAGATGACCTTAAAGAAATATCAGTAGATCCGATTTCCCAAGAGGACAGAGTTGTGATGCTCTACAAGAGCTAGGAGATGAGATAAGAAACAAATCAAATAAAGAAGAATTTTGAACAGATTTATTCGGGAAACGAGTAGAGAAAACCACTATTTGACTGAGAGACTGAGCAATAAAAAAATTGAATATTGGTAACATCAGTAACATTAGGATGCTTAAGCCACTTGACGTGATTAGCATTAAAATCACCAAACACAAAAATATTCGCATTGACAATACTGACAGCAATAATATAATAGCATCATCTACATGCAAAAAGATGCTAAAAATAATAGAAGCCTTATTAATAAAAACCAAAAAACTAACACTTAACAATATTAACTTTGAACATGGACACAACATCTTGACTGTGTTTTGAAAAATGAAAACATTTTATAAAACATACATACAAAAAACTATTTCTTATTTAACAGTTAAAATATTTAATCCTTGAAAATTGCTAAATGTATAGCCGAAAGCGCTCGGATAAAAAGAACATTCGGACAGTTTTATATAATTCATCATCCGAAAAGAAAAAATTATTAAATCGCATGAGAAATTGTATAAAAACTAGATAAAAGCGCATTGTCGCATCCAAGGAAATGTGCATGAAAGAAGGATTGCTGCCTAAATACATACACACACACACACATATATATATAATTATTTATTTAAAAATTATAACATAACTATGTTATAAAATCACTACAAAAATAGCCATTTTGCTTCAACACCTCCGGTGTTTTATCAAGTGATGATGTTGTGTTATAATTTTTAAATAAATAATTATATCTGCTCTACTCTGTATTGAGCACTCTTTTAAGAATAGTAATTGTTGGTTATTGGAATTTATTCCGTATACACCAATCATATACTTGGATATATATATATATATATATATATATATATATATATATATATGTGTGTGTGTGTGTGTGTGTGTGTATTCGTAGAGAAAGAAACATTTTTATATTATCCATGGTTTTGAATTATCCTAGACGCTGGCGATATAAATGGATTGATATTCTTTTATAAAGGCATCAGTAAGAAGTGATCACACGGGAAGAGGCGAGAATTTGAACTCAGTTCGTCGAATCCGCTTTTCGTGTCGATAACCGCTACGCTACTCGCACGTCCATCATTACGTTTAAATCACCTGGTATTTTAAATCGGTCACCCCATCTAAGCTATAAGCAGGATAACTGCTTATAACTTAGATGGGGTGACCGCTTTGAAATACCAGGAGCTGCCCAGACCTCACTTTCCTATCTATCAAAAGCGTCCCCGAGTCTTTGTTGGAGAAGGATTATTTTACATACTCCAGCCTCACTCACACAAGCGGGATGTGGCGAATCTCTCACTGCTCTATCGCTAGACTTATAGAAAGAGTTGAAATTTATAGGGCATATAATGAAGAAAGAGGGTTTAGAAAATCTGATACTCACAGGGCAGATTGACGGCAGGAGGAACAAAAGAAAACAACGCTTAATCTACTTAGTGAGCTTGAATAAATGAATGGGGAAACAAGGTTTAGAAGAGAGAACAAAAAGACAAAATTTATTAAGAGCTGCAAAGGACAGGAAATTGTGGAGAGTCATGATCGCTTACATTCTGAAGGGACACGGCACAGAAAAGATTAAGCCAGTTGTCATATTTGGGTAAGAGTTGACCAGACCTCACTTTCCAGTCTTGATAGAGTTAAAAAGCGTCTCCGAGTCTTTGTTGGAGAAGAATCATTTTCCACACTCCAGCTTCACTCACATAGGCAGGATGTGGCTAGTCACTCACTGCTTTATCGCTACGACCATGGAAAGTGCTCGGACAAACTGTATCTCTTAGACCCACTAGGTCTGACTTTCACGGTTAGGACCCGCCGTCCCACTTCTTCCTGCGAACCACCCACATGTTTCCCCATCGTAACCTGTTCAAGTCTAGAGTCAACTTTTATCTTCCCTTCCTATCCATATAAACTACCCCCCTTAATGTAACCCTCTACCTCGAGTGGCCCCGGGCCTTGTACAGGGTGAACCTTATAGTAAAAAACATGCTGTGACGCGTGTGCCTGGTATAACCTAACGAAACTGCTGTTATGCTGGTTACATTAAACTTTGTGATATTATCCTTCAGTGTCACTTTGGTGTCGTGGTGCCCTCTTACTTAATAATAATAAATGCTCAGATGTGCCACTAGGCATGGCTTCTAATCTTGACTGAAAATGTTATCATTTACATCTTTTATCTTATCGTCGGGTCCATTCATGTCTCTCCACAACATCCTGTCCTTTGTAGCTCTTAATAAATGTTGTCTTTTTTATCTTTCCTAAACCTTGCTCCGCCATCCATTTACTCATGCTCACTCAGTAAGTCATGGGTTATTTTCCTCTGTCCATCTTGCCCTCAATCTGTCCTGTGAGTATCAGATTTTCCAAGCCCTTTTTCTTCATTATGTACACTAGAACTTTCAACTGTTTCATCCTGATGTTAAGTATAAGTTTCTTTTTTACCCTATCTTCTCATCGTTGCTCACATCTTCAGTCCGTGCCACCCTCAGCATCCTCCAGTAGAAATATTTCTGCTGCTTCAAGTTTTCTCTTCATCTGTGAGGAGATTGCCATATAGGACGACTGATATTACGTAACAGGTCAGTACTCATTTCTTTGTTTCTAACAAAATATTTCTGCTTCTTAATACTCTACTTAGCTTTTGGAATGCATCTTTGGGGGAATTAAAATGGGCTACAATAAACATTTCGTTCAGTGCCACAAACGTTCTTGTCGGTTGACGTGTAGTGATTACGAAATAATAAGAACTCCCTTAAAATTCGGAGAACCGAGGAAAAAGATAGAAGGAAAATCGCGAGCCTATGTGAAATTTTCTTTCGAACAATGAAAACCTTGCCTTCACAGCGGTGAGCTGAGAAGACGGGAATAAATTCGCGAGCCTATGTGAATTTTGAAACAATGAAAACCTTGTCTTCACAGAAATTAGAAGTTGAGCTAAAGAAAGAAAAGAAAGTAGCATGCCTATGCGAAATTCTTTTTTAAATAAAATGAGGAGAAAAATAAATTAATAAAAGTGTCTTAAATCATATTGAAAAGTTTCGTTTCTGTTCAGCGGGTCCAGCGTTGAAGTTCTCGCCAGTGTCAAATTATTCGCCAATTATAGTATCGGTCTTTTGACTAAGCACGCGGCATTTAAAAAAAATTCCTTCAACAATACAAGAAAGCTAAGCATTTCAAAATATATCTCTTTGTCTACTTATACGCAACCGTGTATCTTTTCTGTGAGCAACAAACCCTCTTAAATTTGTTTTAAACATTTTGAATATTATTTTGTCAGATCATTTAATCAGTTTTATGAAAATTCCCTCTTCATGACAATTCGTTAAAACTACGGACCTTAAAAATTTCTGATTTATTTTCTCTTTTTGGGGGATAATGATTTACTGACGTCCTACTAATTAACCCATAGCTGGAGTAAGAAGAGGTGGATCTATACCTTTCCCAGGGTTATTTGCGCGTAAGTGAATATAACGAAACTGAGTCGGCTTTCCGATTTCCAATTCCGAGCCGTTATCTATTACACCACTCGCACATCCAAGCTTACAATATCTGGTATTCCCAAGTGGTCACTCATCAAGGTACTGACCCAGGCTCGACGTTGTTTAACTTCGGTGACCACACATAAACCAGTGTTTCAACGTGATATGGTCGTGAGCCCCTGAGACTTGGATATCCAAGCAAGAAAATTGGATATATTTTTAATACTAAACTTAACCCAATACAAGGCCCGAGTGCTACCCGAGGTAGAGGGTTAATATTAAAATGGTAGGAAGGAAATGAAGATTATATGGATCAGTAGGATAGATACCAATTGACTCTTGAACAGGTTAAGATTGTAATGTTCCCTGCTAACTCTCTAGAGAGAGAGAGAGATAGAGAGAGGATTATCCCCTGATTTCTTTGTTTATTAGAAACTTGAGTATCTGGGTATGTTTGTTTAGGGGTATATAAAACTTCTTATGCGTCATTTAATGTTGAAATTTAATTTTCTTGGGAGCATTAGTAATTTCTTTTGCTGGGATTTTTACTATGAAAATGTTTAAACTTGAAGTATTTTTTAGAAATGTTTACTATTTGCCCATAGCTAGGATTCGAACAGGTGCTACCACTCAGGATCAGGGTAGACCTGGAACCAAGAGCCAATTAAAAGGTGGTTCAACGGTCCTCAAAACCTCCCGATCAGAGGCCTTCCTGCCGGATGGAGTCTACTGTTATATCAAAGACGGTTTATTAGAAACCTTTAATTAATACGGGATTTTTGTTTAAATTTTGATAATTAACACCAGATTTTACAAGCCACGTCACTAATTTGAAGCTTTAAAGTTGATGGGTAAATAGAATTAATAACTTAAGAGCTTGATGGTAGTAAATCAAAGGTAGGTACTTACGAAAAGCGAATAGATACTTTGAAGATACGGGATGACTCCAATGCAGGTTTATTAAGTGCAAGTTGAGGATTTTTTTTTCTCTCGCTAATCTGTGTCCCGATCAAAAGACAAGTTATGAAAAAAAAAAAAAAGAAAGAAAGAAAACGTCTTTGCCGTTCTTTGAAATATCGGGCGTTGTGGGAGCGAGGAAATGTTGAAAAGCAGATGACTGGTGTTAAATCAAGTCGCAAGATGTGTGAGACCGACCAGTAGATATCCCTTAAAAGATATCCATCAGGAAAATTGAATAAAAAATAGGCGGCAGGATACATAAAAACCGATTTTTCAATCTCTTTTTTTTTTTCATTTTTACCGACGAATACCATGTCACCTTCAATTGGTCAGGAGAAAAATGAAGATGATGAAATGCTGACGCCATGATGGATTTCGGTGTTAATCCTACAGCTCAGGCTATATACCGTAATTTCTCGAAAATAATACGCACCTATAAATAATACGCACCCCAACAAATGATTCCAAAATTAAGAAATATATCTATCCCTATGTATAATACGCATCTATAAATTTTGTCAAAAAAAAATCAAAAAATCCGAAGACATTTTGTCAACCTTGACATTAAAAATAAAATCGAAACTAAGCGGCTAAATTAATGTTGAAAATTACCAGTGGTTTTACCGATAAATATAACATTTTATTTTACCGCTCAAATGTCGTCAAAACGTACGAGTTATAGTGCAAATTTTAAACAAAAAAATAATAGAATTAGCAGAAAGAATAGGAAACAGAGCTGAAGCGATAGAATATGAGTTGAATGAGGCTAACATACGTTTATGGGGAAAGAATAAAAATGAACTAAAAAAGTGTAAATCAAGTGCCTAAGCTATAGGTAGAGGAAGAAAAGCTCAATATCCAGATATGGAACAAAGTTTAGTTGAAATTGTGAAAGAAAGATGATCATGTGGCTGTTCCGTAAGTACTGAGGAAATAAAGATGAAGGCAAAAGAATTTATGAAAACCATGTATCCTAGAAACACATTTAAAGCTTCAGCAAACTGGTGTTTTCATTTTATTAAGAGGTTTAAACAACATTCATAGTACAGGACGAAGATAATATTGTGAACGATAATTTGTTTAATGACAATTTCGATATTGATTCTATAATAGAAAGTGGCGATGATGACGAAGAAAATTAACTATTCAATAAATTGTTAATTTGATATCTTCTTTTCTTCGAAATTGGCCTTTTTATAGATTTTTTTTTAATTTTTTCGCCAAATAAAAAATGTGGTTACAGATAAACATAAATTTATTGACAAAAAATGTTACAATTATTATTGTTGGATTTAAAATGAAAATTGGGATAATATCTTTATTTTAGAACAACAAGTACGTGTTTATTTTTATAAATCAATAACGAAAAAATATTTTGTTTTAAACCTATTCATAATACTATCACCAGTAATTCACAGTAAAAATGCATATTATTTTCAAGAAAATTGTACATTGTACATTATATATATATATATATATATATATATATATATATATATATATATATGAGAGATATAGATAGAGAAAGAGAGATAGATATATAGAGAGATAAGGTAAGGGATAAACAGGAAATGTTTATCAATCTAACATGTTTCACTTTTTAAAGCTTCATCAGAAAATGAGATATGGAGAAAAAGAAGAAAGAAAATCTGGCATTTTTTCTTTTACTTTTGTGTTTGATTTTCATTGGTTAATCATGTTTCACGTGAATTCGACTTGTTAAACAAACGTTAGTATAAATTTTGGCGTTCCGAATTCAAGGAGTTTCAACGCTATAAATTTTCGATTGTCGTAAAGGATCAATTTCTCATCACAAGTCACTATTCAATCAAGAAATGGATCATTGGAATTTTGCAGATGCAGCGTTGAACTCCGACTTTCACAGAGTGCATGTAGAGCGCATTTATTGAGTTTTTCACCTTTCCAATTTCCTTGAGACGGTCCAATATTTTTGAAATGTTGACAGCCATTATGTGAGAGATTTCTCAAGACACTTTGACCTGGGTTTTGTTATATTGTTTTCAGATGTTGATTGTCAATTGCAGATGGGTATCCTATACCACCTTGAACTTCAAGACTCGTATCCCCACTGCGGAACTTCAGAAACCAGCGCCATGCTTTCCGATAACAAGTGGATCCTTCATCTCCATGATCTGTTAATGTTGGCATCAGCTTAAGAAACGTCATGACTAACCTTGAACTAATTAAAAAAAAGTAAAAGTCTCTTTTTTTCGTTTTCAAGATGAGAGCTATATAATGTTTTAAGATAAATTCCGAAAGGTACCAATATAAAAGTTACAAAGAGGATATTTTAACCATTACGAATGAGTAATATATTTTTGTGCATTTATTACAAAAATATATTTGAACACAAATCGAACATTATTTCCCGAACAACAACACATATATATATATATATATAATAAAAAGGCTTAAACACTAGTACTCCATGGTCATAATTTATTACATTGGAATCGTAAATATGTGTATATATGTATGTGTATATAACCACTAATATTATATATATATATATATATATATATATATATATAAGAAATGGACAAAGTCTGACAATTTATTTTATTAAAGACATTTTTATGTTTTAAGGTTCTTTTTTTTTTATAGATACAAGTATTTAAGTAAATGCTCTGTTTATAATAAACAGTATTAAATAACATTTACCGGCCTGAATGTCCGAGAAATTTTCATAGAAAATATTCTATGAAATCCTGTCAAAGGACGAATATTTTCAAGGGTGAAATTTCCACCTCTGAATTTTGCAAACCATCTTCTGCAAGTTCTTTCATTCACACATTCCTCTCCATAAACTGAGTGAATGTTTCTAGCCGCTTCGGCTGCTGAGTTTCCTTTCTTGAACTCATAAAGCATTATGTGCCTCAAATGATTCTTGGGTACTTCCATGTTAGCAGGGTTTTAATCAAACAAAATTTAATTTTATTGTTTTTCTGAAATAAATTTGATCAGTTTAAATGCATCTAAGCATAAAAAAATGTTCAGCTCCATTAGAAATTATAAAAGTTAAAATTCGGACAGAACTTATGGGATGACCTGATATATATATATATATATATATATATATATATATATATATATATATGTACACAAAAACTAAATCGCAGAGAACCAATATTATCTATGGGTTTACATGCTCCTTAAGGAACTGTGTTCCTGATCAAAAGAAACCCATAAAAATTATGCCACTACGATTCACGTTACACCTATCTAACGATAGCTCAATAAGGACTCATTTAAACACACACCAAACTCCTTTTGCAACATACTAGTATAAAATACACGTACAATAGCCTCATCCACATGCCAAAAATGACAAAAAAATAATGGAAATACTAATTAAAAAAAGAAAACGCTAACACTCAACTATGTGCATGGCCACAACGCGATGACCGTGTTTGGAAAATAAAACAATCCTATAACTTAGAAAGATACATAAAAAAAACATACATTCAGTTAAAAATAAACAAACGAAAATCGTCCTTGACAAGAGCTAAAAGAATAACCGAAAAGTGCCTGAGATATGCTAAACATTTAGGTTTTTTACATACTTTGTGCCCAGATTGCTAGTTTGAGAGATTGCTGCCATATATATATATATATATATATATATATATATATATATATATATATTCCTCTTATTTTATTTTAAAAAAATATACATGTATGGGTATTTATATATTTTGCATATGTATGTATATTTACCACTAATAAATATATATATATATATATATATATATATATATATATATATATATATTTGTTATGTTATATTGTTTAGAAATAATTTTGTTTACAGTTTGGATCTTAGAAACTTAGCAGAGATGTGTTCCGAGAAAGATCTGAATGAGTGAATGTGCTTTAAAAGCAAAATAAAACCTTGCTTTGTTATGAAGCTCATCGTAGCGTAAAGGTAAAAGCTCGCCGGAAAAGACGGTGACCCCTCTTACAAAAGGGAGATACAGGTTCGAATCCTGCCGGAGTGGGGGCACATTTTCTAAAGTTTTTTTTCCAGACTAGACAAAATAAATACGGGTATCTATTGTTTACTCAAGATGTTAGCATTATGTTTCTTAATAATCATACCTAAGTTTCCAGTACAACAGTAATTTAATTTAAGGATATTTTTATTAAAAATTGTCCCCGAGAAATTTTTTTTGTCCTAATTTATTTTTTACCA